GTATTTTGTATGAAAAAAAAAAAAAAAAAAACAAGTGTCTTCTTGGGGTTCCTCAGGTTGAGGTGGGGAATGAGAGCAAATCATTCTGGAGGAACGCAAGGGAAAATGGCTTTAGATACTTGGGTGACGATAGAATTTATTCTCATAATTGTTTTAATAGCTTTTGTATAATCCTCATCGCTATTATGAGATATAAAATGTATTTATCAAATCTGTAATCATTGTGCCAAAAAATCTGAATTACTGTAATATTTTGTATATTGTTAAAACTGTAACTTTAAGTGTAAAAAAAAATTTTTTTAAAAAACAGTGCAATGGAAAAATTAAAATTGTCTACTTAGAAAAAAAAAAAGAAGAGAAAGAAAGCCCATCATGGCAGTGCACATCTTTAATCCCAGCACTTGGGAGGCAGAGGCAGGCAGATCTCTGTGAGTTCCAAATGAGCTGGGGCTATAGGAAGACCCTGTCTTAAAAAGATGAGGGGAGGGGAGGGGAAGGGGGGGAGAGGAAGGGGGAGGGGGAGGAGCTCCTCTTTTCATGGGAACTGAGATAGCCAACTGCTTTTCCCTGAAGCGCAGTTGCCAGATGTGGGCCTATTTCTATATCAGGTATGCTCCAGGCAGTCCCCTAGCTGGGTCTCTATCAAGGAAAAAGTGAAATCAGAAAGCCTTTTGTGAGTTGTGTCAGCTGGATTGACAGGTGCAAATTTAGAGAAGTCCAAAATGCCTAGCTTCCCACCCCACACCCCTATAAAACATTTCCTAGGTGCTGCAGTAGTAGTGAAGGCTAGAAGTGAGGCTGGAACACCCAGGTAAATTTCTTGCAGTCTTGTGCTGCTTAGGAGATTTACTAAATTTTAAAACTTGTGGATTTCAGGACGCTTTCCAATCTTACAATGCATTGAGGATTCCAAGGGGATTTTGCTCCTATGACTTAATAGCTATTGATATTTATTATCTCTGAAAATTAGAAATTAAAAGGAAGAAAATTTAAATTAACTTAAACATATAACGAACTCATTGCATGCTAACATTAATAAGCTTCAGAAAAAATTATTTTTAAAATAATTCAAAATTCCAAAATGTTACTGAAGAATAGACTTGTTTTGTATTCTTGTATTATTACTGTCTGACTTAGTAGGAGATAGCTGAATTTTCATGTCTGCTTCTGTCTTCAGTTCATTGCAGTGTGTTTTGATTGAAGCAGATGAAGACAATCTAGCCTCACACAGATAAGTTGGAAAAAAGAGGGGTAATTTAATAGCTTTTCCAGAAAATTGTGAGTATTCTTCTTTGGTCCTGTGCCTATAGTAGTTTCTTAGGGTTAGATGCATTGAGGAATATGAAACCACATCATTGAACTTTTTGTGCTTTATTACATTAAAATCCATTACTCTGCTGGGCGTGGTGGCACACGCCTTTAATCCCAGCACTCCGGAGGCAGAGGCAGGCGGATTTCTGTGAGTTCAAGGCCAGCCTGGTCTACATAGTGAGTTCCAGGATAGCTGGGAGACCCTGTCTCAGAAAGACCAAAAAAAAAAAAAAAATCCATTGCTCTATTTTGGTATTTATTTAATATATATGCGTGTATTGCCTGCATGTGTCATGCAGTGCCGGAGGATGTCACAGCCTCTGGAACTGTAGTGGCAGACAGTTGTTAGCTGCCATAATGTTCTGGAAACTGAACTCAGGTCCTCTATTAGGGCTGTCAGTGCTCTTAACCCTTGAGCCATCTCTCCAGCCCCTATATTTTGTATTTTAAGTAAATATTTTGTCTGTCTTTGATTTGTGTGATGAGTTGGTTGTTTAGAAATACTGGTTTACTGAAGTTTGTGGACCTTCTAAACATTGACATGTTTCGTTATACTATCCTTGAAAGCATCATCATAGTGCTCTCATTCAAAAAAATTGGTAAATGATGGAAAGCTGTCAAGGTTACAGTGACTCATACATGTTTCCAGAATCCTAACATTGACCTGAAAGTTCAAATTTTATCATTTGTAACAAGTAGTGTTACTTTTGAGAAAACACATAATAACCATCCATGTTGAAAGACCATAATTTGTTTTATTAGCTGTTCTTTCAAGTAAAGCTAGTGTTTCTTGGGGTGGGTGGGGGGAGATAATAGCTAATTCAGCTTGCAAATCAAAGAATCACACAAATATTCTTCCCTGAGATAGGAACTAATCGGAAAAAAAAAATGCTTTACATGTAGAACTACTCATTTTGCATCTTAGTTTATAAAAACGACATGCACTTAGAGTTAGGAGTTAATATACTTAACTATTTTTGCTATTTTATCAAAGATATTAAGTAAAACGGGTCATTTTTTCCTACTGTGAGTGAATGGCACTGAAGAATGTAGTCATGTGGGTGGTGCCACTGTCTTGGGTTGTGCCAGGGTTCCAGCAGTTTTGCACATCATTGCTTTTGCACCATTAGTGTCAATGTCAACACAATGAGAAGAGTAAATAACTTAGTATTATCATAGTTTTTATTTCATATATTCCCCAGACCATATTTGAACCCTACTAAGCTAGAGGAAGGGGCCTATACAAACTGACATCTTCACCCTTGAGATATTTGAAATCAGAGGATAACCAGAATCTAACCATAGTTGTATTCTAGGCCCATCCCAGCCCTGTTCCTTTGCTTAACAGTAGAAAGCAAGTCTTCTATGGGAAACAGCACCAACCACAGCCCCTGCAGTTATAATGTAGTGCTTGACTTACAGTCAGATATTATGAGTCAGGATTTTGCTTTTAGCCACAAGGGAATAACAGGATCTAAAAGTGCCTTTTCTTAATAAACAGCTAGGAAACCAGACAGTATACATGAAACAACTGTCTTCCTAGATTGGACAATGGGCAACTTAGTATTGTCATTCCACAGAGAAGGAAAACAGAAGAGCTAGCTTCATGATTATCTTGGCTTCCTGCCTAGAGGTAATTGCCAGATTGTGGTACATGGAAGAGAAATCTAAATAGCACCCTGTTAGTGCTGAGTGGTGTGAGACATAGATCAGAGTTTAGGGAAGTCCTGATGGGTAGAACATACAGGCTAATATAGTTAAAGGAAGGAGTTGTACAGATAAAGAGTTCTAGATATCTATATCAGAGTCATTTTGAGTGCTGCATATGGGCAGAGTGAAATTCCATGAGGCTTGGCAAGAAACAGCTTGCACAAAAAAAAAAAAAAAAAGTTAGTGAAGAATAGTAACCTGAACAATCCCCAGTGCATATACAGAACCAGAGATCAGTTGAGCTCCATCAACCACAGTGAAAAGGCCTCTGAATATATGGGATATTCAGGGAGAGACTTCTGAAAATTCACATCTTTAAGTTGGAACTAAATTAGATCTAGAATAAAGAGTATTGTAAAGCTGAGTGTGTAATCCCAGCACTCAGAAGGCTGAGGCCAAGGGACTGCAGAGTTTAAGGCTAGCCTGGGCTGAAGAGTGAGACTTTATTTCAACAAAGAAGCAAACAAAGAAGACTCTTCTTTGTCTATCCTAAATGTAATACCACATCAAACAAATTAGCTCACATATAATTTAACTGCCAACTAGAACAAAGTTCAACCCTGTTTACATGGATATAACAAAATCTAGTAGTCACAGCATACCAGATAGGTCTAGAAACATGAAAATATAATTCATAATTGAAAATGAACATCTAGAAATAGACATGGTGGAATTGGCAGACAAGAATATTGAAGAGCTTTATTAAGTATAATAAATATGTTCAAGTAATTAAAACATGATCACTATAGACTGAGAAGCAGAAATATAAAGAACCAAATAGAATGAATTCCACTTGATGAGATCACAGACAAGTTAGATACTGCAGAAGATCAATGATCTTAAAAATAAAAGTATCCAAGCTGGGTGTGATAGTACACACCTTTAATCCCAGCACTTGGGAGGCAAAGGAAGGCCTCTGTGAGTTCAAGGCCAGCCTGGTCTACATAGTGAGTGCCAAGCCAGCAGGGACTACAGGGAAACACTGTCTCAAGAAGACTGGAAACATAAAAAATAAAAAATTAAAAAATAAAAGTATCTAGAGTGAAGGACAGAAATGAGAGTGGAAAACTTCACAGAACTTCATTATCATGTAGGCCAGTATTAAGTAGTTTAAAGCATGAATAACTAGAAAACAAAAAGTGGAGACATAAGAAATTAATGCCCTAAGTTTTCCAAATTTGATGGGAAGTATCAACTAACAGATCCAAGAGGCTCAGCAAACAGTAAGCAGAATAAAAAAAGCCAACAACAGGGTATGTCATAATCAAATTGCTAAAATAAGTGGTAAAGAAAACAGTCTTAAAATTCAGAGAAAAAAAGGCAGATTGAGTACAGAGGAACAAAGGTAATAATTAGTATAGACATCTCAGAAAATACAAAAAAACAGAAAGATTAAAAAAATGGCATTCAAGTCTATACTTTCAGGGATCATTTCTATAGTTCGTTACTAAAGAAGTTTCTCTGACTGTGCAGAGTACCCGAAACCACAAGGAGGAGACGTAGCATTCTCTCCTGAGCGTGAAGCTGGCTCCTGATGTTGCTTCGCTCCAACTGCCTTTTGCCATTGACGATTCGTCTTCTCTTTTTTGGGAGAGTAGAGGGAGAGGATGCAAACTTGAATGGTTAAAAAAAAAAGAAAATGGCATTTAAAAAGTTTTGATAGAAAAGAATTTCTGTCAACCACATTACTATACCCACTAAAAATGTCCTTCATAAATGGAGAGGAATACTTTTTTAGATAAATTAAAACTGGAGAAAGCATTACTAACAGGCTAGTGCCACAGGTAGTGTTAAACAGCTTTCTTTAGGCCAGGCATGGTGGTGCATGCCTTTAATCCCAGCACTTGGGAGGCAGAGGCAGGTGGATCTTTGTGAGTTCAAGGCCAGCCTGGTCTACATAGTGAGTTCCAGGACAGCTGGGGCTACAGGGAGACCCTGTCTCAAAAAAACAAAAAAACCAACCAACCAACCAAAAAAAAAAAAAAGCTTTCTTTAGACAGACTGAAAATGATCATATAAGAATGAAGAGCTTTGAAAATATGAAATACATGAGGGAAATACAAGTTTTTTTCTCATCAAAAGTGTAAGGATAGTTAAATAGACAACAATGATAGCAGTATATTATGGGATTTTTAACATTTGAAGAATAAAATGTGTGAAAATGAGAATAGAGGATATGGCAGGGGATGACTAGTATACAGTATTTTCCTTTATCCTCAGTTTAGTTACTCCAACAACTTGTGTTCTGAAAATAACAGTCAACTTTAAATTGTGTACCATTCTGAGTAGTATAATGAGTCTTGTGCCATCGTACTGTGCCAGATTATCAGTCCTCCCTTGGTCTGTGTCTTCGAGCTGTCTTGGTTTTCAGATTGACTGCTGAGTATGGCATTGCATGTGTATAAGATTTGCTACTGTCCACAATTTGAGGCATTCACTGGAGGTCTTGGGATGTTTTCCCCATGGATAAAGAGGACCACTGTACTGCTGAAAAGTTAATATATGAAGATAGGTATAATATTATTCAAATGTAGATCATAATAAAGTGTACATACTGAAAATCTACTTGAAAAATAAGTCAAATAGTCTAAATAAAATGCAATACTAGGGAGTACTCAATCTAGAAGGAAGCAGGAAATGAACAAAGGAGAAAGAAACAAAGTACAAGTAAGACAAATAGAACACAAATACATAGTAAACCTGTAGATTTAAACCTAGACTTATCAATAATTGCATTAGCTATAAGTGGTCACACTACTCCAGTTAAACTGTTTCCAGGCTATGTTTTCTTTTTTCTGTTTGTTTTTATCAAATTTTTGTGTATTTCATACAGAACATTTTAAATCAATCTTATTAATCATCTTTATATCCCCATCCCCACTGGTACCCTCCCATACCTGGAGCCCATATACTCTTTCATCCCTGTTAAGGCCCACTGTGTCAAGTCAGTGTCCCCAGACATTCGCCAGTGCAAGTCCATCCACTGAGGTCTAGTCAGCCTATCCAGAGTCCCTGGTTTTAGGAAGATCAACTCTTCTTCATCTAGCAGCAGTCAGTTGCCAATATTTCTTCAGATAATGTTGGGGTCTACTGTTTGTTTTCCCAGTTCTATGCTTGGTTTTTGTCTGCCTGAGTTTGCATGGGACTTGTGTATGGTGACACCATTATGTTCTCCCTCATATGTGGATCCTAGCACCAAATCCTTTTAAATGGGTATGTATCTAGACATAACTACAGGAACCAGAATAATGAAAAGGAACCAGGGAGGTAAAGGGAAAGAAAAGAACCTGAGAGAAAAGAACAGTAGGAGACAGGTGTTACTGAATAAGAAATGGACAAAAATGGTTATTTAAATGGTTATTTAAATGGGAGGGGGAGGGAAGGTTATACAAGAAACCTTAGGGATAAGGGAAAGAAGGAGCTCAAGAGAGGTGGGACCATAGGAGACCGGTATTATCAAGGGAAAAATGGGGGGAAATGGGGGGGCACTTTAAATGAGGAAACCATGGCAGAAGGGTTAGACAGTGAGAGAGGAGAGATAAATAATGCCTAGCTAGTTAAAAAAAAAAAAAAAGACAGAGGGAATCATATTAGTCCAACAACCTAATGACAAATCACACATACATACTCTCTACATGAGTCCAAGTGTATAGCTAAAGGCTACATAACAAGAAACAGTGCCAGACAGGAGAAACCTTCCTTTGAGTTGTTGGCCAGGATGGTCCGAGAGACTCCCAAAATTACTCAGGCTATTGCCACAGCCCTTGACGGCCTCTCAGAACTTGAAGGTAAGACCCTACTGCTGAAGACAGAATCTACTTCAGGCTATGTGTTTTTAAAAGGAAAATAATACTTGCTATCTATAAGAAATTCATTTTAATGTAGAATCTACATTTATGTATACATATACATGTACACATACAAATATATGCATGCATGTGTACATACATATATAAGCCATGAAAGCAGAAGGGAGACTCTTAGAGTGAGGAAATGGGCCAGTAAAGGAATAGGGCATAATATATGGGAGTACAATCAAAGTACAGTGATAGATGTATGAAAATGTCATAATGAAGCTTATTTCATATGCTTACTAAAGTAATGAAAAAATAAAAAATTCATTTTAAATAAAACCCAAAGAGTGGGGAAAAAATGCCATCTAAACACTGAGAAAATTGACTCTATTACCTTAAAACTGGACTTGAGAACAAAGAATATTTCAAGAGATAGAAAGGAGTATTTAAAAATGATAAAAGAGTTCACAAAGATGTAGCTATTCATCCTGTGCATATACCAGGGCTTCAAATTACATGGACCAAAAACTGGCAACTAGAGGCTGGAGAGATGGCTCAGTGGTTAAGAGCACTGGCTGCTCTTGCAGAGGATCCGAGTTCTGTTCCCAGAACCCACATGATGGCCAACAATCATCTGTAACTCCAGTTCCAGGGAATCTGACGCCTTCCTCTGATTTCATGGGTATTACATGACACTGGTGCACTTACATACATACAGGCAAAACACTCATACATGTGAAATAAAAATAAATTAAAAAGTAAAACCTGGCAACTAAAATAGACAACTTCACAAGTATATATGATGACTTCAACACTCCTCTTTTAGTAATTGATAGAAAAAAAACACATATATTAAATGTATAGGAATATAAAAGACTATGGCCTACCTTGACCTAAATGACACTTAACAGAATATACCCCCAAACACTTCAGAATAAACATTCTTCTCAAGTACACATAGAATGTTCACCATTCACCCAGATCAGCCATACACTGGGAGGTTTTTTTTTTAAGAAACAAAAAACTCAATCAGACATGGTAGTACACACCTTTAATTCTAACACTTGAGATACAGGGGCAGGTAAATCTCTCTGTGAGTTCAAGGCCAGCTTGGTCTACATAGAGAATTCCAGGCTAGCTAGGGATACAAGGAGACCCTGTCTCAAATACTGCTTTCTCTCCAAAGTCAATACATTTAAACATCTCTAAATCACAAACTATATGCCTTAACCAAAACGTAATTCACTAAGGAAAAGATATCTGGAAATTCTCAAATACTTAGAAATTAAACAGATCTACGAACTAGTTTATGGGTAAAATAAATCATGGGATTTGTGGGATACTAGAACAATGCTAGTAAGAAACTTATTTTAGATTAATAATTTCAGTAAGCTTCTACCTAAATAAAGGAGAAAGGAAGAACAAATTCAACCTAAAGTAAGATACTAAGAATTCAGAGAGATAGAAAATGGACACATGGTAGGGGAAAATATTAAAGCAAACTCTCACTTTTTTTGAAGATTAATAGACCCACCAATATCAGAAAGGGCATTAAGAAGGGTGGAGAGACATGGGCAGCCCTATTTGGGCATGAGGGCAGTGTAGTAGGTATTGGACATGAGACAGTAAGAAAGGAGACCAAACAGGCTAAGCCTCAAGGGGAGTTGAAGCTTGAGGTCTGGATGGACTTGTTCTGTGGTCCTCCTAGAATTTGCCTAGACTTCTAACACTAGGGTGAATTGGATGGACTAGGCAGTAGGTGACCAGCAAGTTATCTATGTCAATATTGATGAACTGAAGGGGAAAATAACCCACAACTTCAAAAGAAGTACTATTTACTTTCTCCTGAGAAAAATTCTTGACCCATTTTTACACTGAAAATTTAGAAGCTATGAAAGCCTTAAGCATCATGGTGATTTTTCCCTTTCAGATTGAAGCTTTGAGTTATTGAGCTATGCTTAGACTACTTTCATTACTTCTCAGCCTTTTGGCAATGATCAAGTATAAATTACCTTATGATTTTATGTATTAAGGACATAACGCTAAGGTGTAGCAGTCTGCTCTTGTAACTCCAGGACTTGGGAAAGTGAGACAGGAAAAACCATGAGTTTGAAGCCAGCCTGGGGTATATAGCAAGACCCTGTGTCAAACAACACAATGAAACAAACAAACAAACAAAAAAAGTTTTCTTTTGTGAATTTTAAAGATAAGCATGAAACTTAAGCATCAGGAAAACTATGTAAATGTTTATGTGATTTTAAATAGTAAGTGTACCCCCCACTACCTTTTATTGCTTCATTTTCTCTAGACTCAGCTGAAATAGGCAGTCCACTAAAATCTCTGTAATATATAGGCAGAGGGGATGCATATTGGTGAGTGTCTTTACTTGCCAGTAGTTATGTTTGGCCAGTAGTTATGTTTATTTTCATCTGGTGTCCAGACTTTTTGGGGAGGGGTTGTTTTTTTTGTTTTGTTTGTTTGTTTGTTTCTGTTTTTGTTTTGAGATGGGGTCTCCCTGTAGTCATAACTGGCCTGGAACTTGCTATATAGACCAGACTGACCTTGATCTCTGAGATCCCCCTGTCTCTGCCTCCCAAGTGCTGGGACTGAAGGCATGTGCCACCATGCCTGGCTGGTGTCCAGGCTTTTAACTAGATAAATGTTTTATAAGGCATATCTTAGATGAAGGAAATTAGTTGGGCTCAATTATCAGTTTATTTTCAGTAAGAGAAGAAACATAGACAAATATTGGTATAAAATTTAAACTTCAAATCTAGAGAGATGGCTCAGCGGTTCATGTAAACACAAAAAAAAAAAAAAAAAAAAAAAA